GCAGTACCGTGCCAAGCCGAAGCCTCCCACTCTCTGGATTTATTTATCTCTCCCCCTACCTCGGCTGTAAGCTGCACTGCATTCTGTGCCCACGATGAAGCGACCTTGCGAGGAAACTACCTCAGACAGCGACATGGACGAGACTATAGACGTGGGGAGTGAGAACAACTACTCGGGGTAAGTGGGGCACCCCCAGTTCCACCCGGGGCAGCTGTCTCCGCGGGCTGCGGTGGGGGCCGGGATGCGCCCCAGGATGTAGCAGAGCGAGGGAGAAACCCGGCCAGCCTATGGGGGGGGAGGCAGGCCCCGAATGCGAAGCGGGATGCGGTTTTGTCCCCCTCCGGGTCACCTAGCAGCTTGTTGATAGCCCCCCCACCAAAAAAATGTGTCCCGCGGTCTGGCTGCCCCAGCCTCGAAATTACGCGGAGCGCTCAAACAACTTGGGAGCCACCAGGCTGCGGTTCATTAGCTTATTTTAATTTGCCATTTTCAATCAGGTCTTTTCCGAAATAGCTCCTGAGCAGGCCGAACGCCGGGAGGGAGCCGGCGCCAGTGGGAAATGAGCGGTGGGAAGTAAGCGGGGACCCACGGTACCGAACGGCAACTTCGGCAAACCCCGTGTGCCGGCCGGGGGGAGCCGGGTGACTGCCGAGAAAGGGCCGGGCTGGGACCTCCGCCGGCACCGTCCTGCCCTTCAGAGCTGGGCTTGCCAAATGTTTAGAGGTGCACACACTGAAGCCCGGTCTTATCCACATCAGTGGCTAAATGAGTATTAAAAGCTACTGCATTTTTTTGCTGGTTCACGATGAAGTAAAAGCCTTTATACTCGTGGGTAGGGTAATGGATTAAAAGTGTATTTTGTATTCAGCTCCTGATGCAGGACAACACAACAAATCCAGCTGGGGTACCTGGCTTTGTACTGGAGCATCTATTGACTCGTGTAGCAATGGGCAGGAATGTCAAAACCTAGCAGGCCAGGCAGAGGTGGTGGCATCGGGTACATGTAGTTAGCACTGCTGATAGCTTATAGAGATTGCTCACAAGGTTTTGGACTTGGTTCTTCAGCCTTTATTTGATAGGCAGGTCTCTATATGCAATGAAAATGAAATTCGCTGCCCTGGACAGTAAACTATCTTCAGAAACAGCCTTTATTTCCAATAGTGTGTTCTGTCAATTCAAGATCTATGCTGGGGCAGTAAAAAATGAAATGTCTCTCTCTTTAAAGATACTGTGGAGTGCAAAGCACATCTTCTAAGCATTGCAAACTGAGTGAGAGGGACAATGCGTACTACATATGGAGACCTAAGGTGTCTTCAAAGAGCAGTGTCAAGTTGTGCAACACCTGACATACCTTTATTGTTTCACAGGCAAAGTAATAGTTCTGTCATTCGATCAAATTCCCCAACAACGACATCTCAGATTATGGCCAGAAAGAAAAGAAGAGGGGTACGTTGCATTTAATTATTTTCCCATGTGAAAATTTGCATGTAATGCTGTGATTTTGCCCTTCAACATTTTTTATAAACTTAATGTGTTTTGGTTTTTTGGGAATAGATTATAGAGAAAAGGCGCCGTGATCGTATAAATAACAGTCTATCAGAGCTGAGGCGGCTTGTGCCAACTGCTTTTGAAAAACAAGTAAGCCCTTTTCTTTTTGTTTGTTATTAATTCTGTATCTCATCTGGCAATATTAGTTCTCCTGTAAAACTCATTAAAATAATATTGTATGTGTCCTGATCTGGCACAAAGCAGGCATTTCAATAAAATGCTTTGTTGTGGTGAAACTATTAGAAACATAATTCATTATAAGGCTGAACAACATTTCCATTCTTTGGCTTGTTTTTCCCTTAAGGGTAACTGTGTTCATGTTGCCTCTCTTCTTTCGATGAACTCCAGTAGTGGTTTTGTTAAAAATGCACTTTACTCTTTATTTAAAAAAAACCCTAAGAACAAAAAACAAAACCAAAAAAACTCCAAAAAACTCAACACAGCTCCTCCAAACCTGTATGTCAGTTAGCCTTCTGTGTAAATCTTTAAATATAATCTTTGCCCCTACTTTAAGAAATCTTTATTTTTTAATCTATCATTTCAGTTGCAAACTCATCAATCCAGTTTCCTGAACAGGGAACAAACAGTCTGGATTATTCACGTTTTAAAATGACTCTTCAGAACTGGTGCATTAGGAGGGGGAATAGGCCCACGTCATGTGAGCTGGTGAAGTCAGTGATACGTTCAAAGACTTTCAGTGGAAAAGTATTCAGTGGGAAGGCTGGAGGGATTCAGCTAACTTTGGTTCAGCTCCTTGGTCATGAAATAACAGGCCAAAAGCTTAGTATACAGTCACCCCTGTAAAAAAGGGCATTTTGTTTATGCCATCCAAATTAAATTATTTATTTAGTTTTCCATATCCTGATTTTTTTGGAAGGGGCTTTGATTCGGTATTTAGCCTTGTTTGCTGGATGTATCTGAAGATCTATGTACAATTGACATTACACTTCAATCAAAAGGATCCAACTGAAAATAAAGAACCTGACTTCCTTGTAATAGTGAAATGAAAACCAGAAAGTAAAATTTGAGAGCAGGATTGCAAGGCGCTGAATGTCAGCAGTAACTGTGTGGCAAGCACCCACCGCATTCAGTCTGTTGCATCCTTAGTCTGAACAAAGCTAACTAGAAAGAAATTCTGAGTATTTTAGTCATGATGAGAACATCACTTGTGTCACCTGCAATACACTTTTAATAACTAGCAATCAGAACTGTGCCCTTGTGTTGGCTCTGGCAAAACAGAGTGACAGAGGTATTTTCAGCTAGATAAACAGAGGCAAGAGACAACAGTTGTTTGTCCCATTTTATTGTTTACTTCTTGAAAACCATGAACATTATAAAACAAGTCCTACAGAGCCTTTGGAAATTACCCAGTGCCATGCAGTTTTTAGCTATTAGTCACTCTCACTGAGGCGGCTTGTACTGTGTCTATGGAAAAGATGAAGTCTGAGAAAACTACAGGATGTAGTTGCATGTAAAATGGGGAATTCTGACCAAAAATTCACATATGCACCAACCTTTGTACAAGGAGAGCGCCAAAAGCAATAGGCGGATTGAAAAAAATGTGCATGCACTGCATTTTGTTCAGAAAGCCCCACTATTTTTCTGCAATATGCCAAGGACAAAGTCATCAGTCCTCTTCCAGCTCCTTGACATTCAGCTTACTGAAGTTTCCAAGTTGGAGGTTTAGTTTCGCTTCCGCCTCCTTCCCTCTCTTCCCAAATCACGGCTCTGCTCTCCAGAGTCACTTGCAGATTAGCGCTGATGAACTGGGGCTGTGGAGGAGGGTGTAAGCCTTTCTCAACTTGCACAGGTTCAACCCTGGTGAAGCCGGCTGAGGCTGCAGGACGGCTGAGGCTGTTGATGGCAGTGAGGTGGCCCTGATGATAACTAGGAGAAAAATTTGGCTTGCAGGATTCTGTCCGCTAGTGGCTGAAGCTTGTGCAGCCCTGGTTTTAACTGATGCCAAAGGATGATCTTTTGCACTGGAATATCTTTTGTGTGGTAAACTCAGTTGTCTGGGAGTGCTGCAGATGTTGAAGGGAGTGCTGCAGATATTGAAGGGAGTGCTCCAGATATTGAAGGGAATGCTGCCATGTGAAATAGTTTTATTTATAGATTAATCTATTAATACTACCTTTTGAGTTGTATTTTATACTTCAACAACTAGGGTAGCTCTGTGAGCCACACTCAGTAACAGAAAAAAAAATTACCGACAGAGAAGTTAAACTATTTTCTTTTTTCACAGTATTTAGCTTCATTTCCCTGCAAAATAGGCTTCTCGCTACTGTGGGCTGTGCGGTTGTTTTTTCAGTTGAGAATGAGAATAGAATTCAGCAGCCAAATGTCATGTCGAAAATGAACAGGCGATTAAGAAGGATACTCCTGGGTGTGTGTCCACAGGGACACCTACTGGTAAAAGCAAAAGAAAATGTTGCAGCAGGATCTTCATCCATCACTGTGCAGGCCTGTCCTGCCAGCTCACCGTTTGTGTTTGTTGTTAAGAAAGTCCAGAAAGTTATGTATTTCTCTTATTTCTTGAAGATGTTATCTCTACCTGTTCTTCAGGGCTAGACCTATGCTGAGCTATGGCCTTAATAAAGCAAAATTGTGCTGCTGCTGCATGTACTGCTAGAGAGGAGAAAGCATTACTCTTTAGACAAAGTCTGGGAAGCAGATGCTCACGAAATAATTAAGCTGAGAATGTCCTAATGATATGGGAAATTGAAACCATAAGGCTGAGCTCAGCGGAAAGTATATAAAATTAAAATTTCTAGTACTTGTAAGCCTTTATTTATACGAGTCTCTTATCTCAAAGGGATCTGCCAAATTGGAAAAAGCGGAAATATTGCAAATGACAGTGGATCATCTGAAGATGCTGCAGGCGACGGGAGGTAAAGGTAAGGAGCTGATGGTTTCTTTTCTGATATTTGTGGAAAATTCGGGGGGAAAAAGTGCTTTGAGGAGCTGTGATAGGCGTTTCCAGATTAAAGGAGTGGAAATCAATGCTAATGGCAGGATTGAACTCGTGGGAAAGAACTACTGGGACAAAAGAAGCACTTGACCCTGGGCTTGTGTTTGCTTTCATAACACTGTGGGAGTAAAGGCTTCATTCACAAGCAGCCCAGTCAGAGATTTGTTTGGGGTTTCCAAAGAGCACTGAAATCTGCACAGGGAGACAAAACAAATACACAAACACCAAACATAAATAGGAGGTTTGTGGCAACAATTGTATAGCACAAAACTGATGCTAAACCTCATTACCCAGCAGCTATACCCAAGGAAGTGTATGGAGAGGAACTTTCATTATTGTTTATATCTTTTCTTTGTTCTGGAAAGATTTTTAAAATGCCAGGTTAGATGGTCTCATTCACCAGAACAAAGCCCAGGCTTGCTGTACGCAACCCCAGGTATCTGATGAAGCAGATGTGTCGGAGGGCTGGGTAGCTCCCTGGTAGTGGATGCTGGCGGGACGCAGGGGCTGTCCCGGCTGCCCCACAAGATCAGGCGGCTGCCGGGACTCGAGCGTACTTCGCTTGTGCAAGCTGACAGCCTCGAGGCTGGAGGCCAGATGGTTTCAGCCACCCACGAGGTATTCAGTGTAGTCATGATTTTGGAACTTATTTGGAGTGAAAAACTCACTGGCCTCCTGTAGGCACGGTCCCATGTCCCGTGCCATCAACTGTGGTTATGGTTCAAATTGATGCAGTGGCAACTAGCTGATTTTTTCACTGACCCATTCTGCTATATAGGTAAAGGCTAGAAAAGTAGTAGCTGCTGCTTCTCCCTCTTCCTTTTTTAGATTAAACTTAAAATTTTTTAGCCTATGACCAAATTGCTGCTTATCTCTGTACCTTACAGTGATTATAGAATCCAACTTATAATCAGCACATGCCTAACGACAGAGGGTTATAGGAAAGCATGTTGAAGGCTGGTGTTCATTGTGAAAATTAATATTGAACTGACGTATGTATTTTCTAGGTGTTAAGAGACTTTTGCTAGGAGTCCATTTAAGCTTAAAATTTATGGGCAGATTGTTCTATAAGAAGTGAAAGGGATTTTATTGCCCTTCATATAACAGACACACCTCTTGATTTCTTGTAAAATGTGCAAAATTAAATCTAAGGAAAAAAAAGTTAATTTTTGAATCTAAAGATGTCCTGTAAAAAGCACTATTTAGTTGGTAAAGCTTCTGAAAGTTACGAAAAGCCAGAATTGATCATGCTTGTGCAATGTGAACTCGGGTCCTCTGTGTGTGTGCGTGACGGTGCCGTCTGTAATTGCATGGTTGCATGCTGGCTTTCCAGAAAGCTCTGTCTCACTTGGCACACGGGGCAATGGATGCTTGACTGCTGAGGGAAGCAGTAGTTGTTCTGTTTCACGCTCCCTGCGTGACATGCAGCTCAGCTATCCCAACCTGACCCCTCGCTGCACATTGTTCCTCTTAAAAGCTGCAGCAGCTCCCACCTCTTTGATGTCCACATGACAATGAGACGTCGAAGGAGGTCAATCCTCCTTCCCCTGCCTCCCTGCCCCGGAAAAGTATGTGAGGGATTATTTTATAACTGGGTCAGGTCGAGTGGCCAAGGGAGTGAGGCAGGAGATGAACTGCCTGGGATGGGAGCTGCCGGGCAGAGAGACATGTCAGCTGTGGCCAGACAAGCCGGATTTTGTTAGCAGTCCCAGGTCCTGTGGTCTCTTCCTTGGTCCACCACTGATGCCATGCCTCTCCCTGCCCCAGCTGGCACCACTGTGCCTGTAGCTGCCGGAGGGCGGTACAAGGAAGGATGAAGCATAAGGGTGCGGGGAGAGGAGGTACCAGTTTACACCAACATGAGCCCACTGCCACCAGGTGGGCAACCACAGCCGCCCTCACCCCATGCACAGCCCCCTTTGCTACTCCCAGTCTGTAGTGGGTGGCACATCAGTATAATACCCAACTGCTTCACAAATACTGTGACTTGATCTTCACCTTCTGACCCAGAGATAAGAGTAATCTCACTCCACGGATTAAGAAACTTTAAGAAAAAGAGGTTTGCAAGTTAGTATTGGGCAAAGTTTAAGCCTGCATTTCCTGCTTGCTTAATGTTTTACTTTGCAACCTAAGTAACAACTTTAAATATAATTTATTAGGGTGTTTTTAAGGCAGATGTTTGTTTTATTTGCAAGTGTAGTTATTTCCACTTTGTAACTCATCTTCCAAGCCAGAAACTTTTTTGGATCAGCAAAGAAAAAAATATTTCCATCTTTTTTTCCCATGGACAAAAGCTATTGTCACAGCAGGGAGAAATAGGTCCTGATACCATTACGCTCCCCTGCATTGAGGGCTGGGAAAAGCTCATGCTCTTCCTCCTCACACAGAAATGGAGGACACCCATGATGGGGAATGCTCGGGGCTAGGAAAGCCAGGGTGGAGTTGGCCACTGCTCAGTGTGTTGAGCCTGAGGTGGGCATGGCAGAAGAAAACCCAATGTGGCTCCTGTCCCTTCTCTGCTTTTCGGAGCTGCCCAGGCAGGCATGCTGCTGCCTCTGAGGTCCTGTGCAGACTCCGCGTTTCCCTGAAGCAGGTGCAGGCAATGGTCTCCTGTTTGCGTTGAGCTGTTGTTTTGGCCTGAGGCCAGGGCTTTTCGCTGACCGAGCAAGCAAGCTCAGGGGAGGAGTAATTTGTCAGCAGCGAGAGGCTTGGTGGGACCTTGGTGTTGTTTTATTTCAGCTACGCTGCACATTTAGCTTGGGTGAGTGACACCTGGGTCAGCAGCACAGGTTAGTACAGCTCAGATGACTTAGCCAGTGTCCTGCGTGCAGAGCAGGTGGGTTACCAGGATAGCTGAAGTAAAACTGAGGCTTCCCATTCACTACAAAACGCTTGTGTGTACGTGTGTGGGTGGTGGTGGAGGATGTTCTTGGATTTTGGAAAGAAACAAAAAACAATATTTTTAAGCCTCTCTCAGAAGAGGGAAGCCAGCAAAGGGGAAACCTGGAAAAGATAACCATCAAAATCAAAACATAATGGAGCCTGGGAGTCCTAGCTCTCATCTCCCCTCTGTTTTCATGTCTCGGCCACCATAGGAGACTGAGAGAGAGCCAGGATCACCAGGGCTTTGGGACAGCTTGTCACAGAGCCAGCAGCTTAGACCCAGGGGAAGCTGCTGACAGCACATCCCCCACTTCTCCGGTCCGAAGGGAGGGAGGCCGGGAAGCCCTGGCTTGAGCTGCATGCTCTCAGGACTCCTAGGCTGGCTGACTCGTGGCCAGAGCCGGGAGGCAGCTTTGGCTGCACGTCAGCCCCTCTGAAGCTGCCGGAGGTCCTGGAGCCTCTGGCATAGAGTCAGTCCCCATGCCAGGCTGGCTGGCACCCGAGCAGGTACACTGCTAGCTTGCCACCCTGGACTGCCCGGCGTTTGTTTCTCACGAGTTCCCTCCAGCCCCGTGGCATTTCCACAGATTCCTTGGTCGCAATGGACCTGTTGGGATGAAAACTGTGAGGAGTTGGTGCTTGCTGAGACAAGTGCTCGACCCCCTTTGCCCACCCATCTGCTGGCCAAGCCAGTGTTTTGGGTTTCATACAGCCTCAGATGAGCAAGGCAGCCTGTGTCAAAATCAGTCAGAATTTGGCAAGAGGGGCATGTAGGAAGAAGCAGATTTGGGGCGTCTACAAATGCGCCCAAGTTAATTCTATAATGTAAGCATGATAAAAGTGAAAACAAGTATCTAAGGTTTCTCAGAAAGACTGAGATAATTTCATGCCAGAGAGTGCAAGGCCTATATGCAGGTATTGCTGCCACATTCCTCCATAATAAGGGCACTTGATCTTTATATATTAACACACATCATCATAGTCACGCATATCTAAAAATTTTCACTGAAAGCAAGAGGAAAAAACACCGTGCTAGTTTGGGAGTGGATAGGACAGTATTGTCCAAGGAGACTACATTTAAATTAGAATATGAGTATTCCAATGACTGTAATAGGTTTTTGTAGCTGAAGAGCTGCAACTTGAGCACTAGATTTGATGCTAAACACTTTTAGAAAGGGAGTATCTTTTCATGTGCATTTAATAAGATGATTTTTTTTTTCAAATGCTTTTTTGTCCCAGGCCTGTGGAGCTCCAGTTGCTGTTCGTTGAAATACCTCATGGGCCATATGACTGTCAGTCTTCCATCTCCAAATTAGCAATGGCATTGCATAAAATGTTTGTTTCAGTAAAGCTTTTTATTGTGTGTGTACAGAGTCATGACAAGATGTTTTTAGTTTGTACTTAAATAACACCGTATGTCATATTGTCTTAATGACTCTGTGAAGTCGACAGGACCACGGCAGCAGTTGCAACAACTATCTCACAAAGTCAAGAAATAGTTTGAGAGAGTTACTATGAATGCCAGGGTAGAGAGAAAAGGGCAGGGTAGTGCATACAGGCTCTCTGATCTCCAGCCTGTTTCTCTGTGTGGATAAACGTCTGGTTTCAGGAGAGGCATCGTATATCTTTTTAAGTGTCACGAGTACTTATGGACTTAATTCTTTTCATTTGTACATTGTCTGCAAAAAGAACTGCAGACTATTGCATTACAGGGATGGTCACGCAAATCATTTATAGATCAGAGAACAAACTTCTTGTGTTGCAAATCTTAACCTGTAAATGGGAGATTGGATGGCTGAGTGAGGACTGGGTTAGCCACGTCACCTAATGTTGGCTGGGAAGCCGGCACAACGCTCAACGCATCTTTTTGCCTTCTCCTTTGCAGGTTATTTTGACGCTCATTCCCTGGCCATGGATTTCATGAGCATTGGCTTCCGGGAGTGCTTGACAGAAGTTGCGAGGTACCTGACTTCAGTGGAAGGTCTTGACACATCCGACCCCCTGCGCGTGAGACTCGTGTCGCACCTGAGCACCTGTGCCTCGCAGAGGGAAGCCGCCGCCATGACCTCCTCAATGGCCCATCACCACCACCCCTTGCACCCTCACCACTGGGCAGCTGCCTTTCACCACCTCCCAGCCGCTTTGCTGCAGCCGAACGGACTCCACGCCTCCGACGCTGCGCCGTGCAGACTCTCCTCGGACGTGCCCCCCCATGGCTCGGCCCTGCTT